AGTGGGAGAGTGATAATAGCAGAGCTGCTTGGGGAAGATAAGCCTGGTGGCGACACGGAGGTGGCTGCACTGTCAGAGGTGATGAGGGAAGCAGGGGCGTGGTCGGGAGGCTGTTGCCTGGGGCGTCACGAGCTGATGAGGGCCTGGGCTCTCCCATCCAGACAGCCCAGTCCCCTCCCCGCTTCTCTGTATCGCTCCTACTTCCTTCCCTGCCTCCACTTCTCCTTATTTCTTTTTAAGATTGATTAACTGATTGATTTAAATGGCAGTGTGACAGAGAGGAAGGGAGAGATATCTTCCCTCTGCTGGCTCACTCCCCAAATAGCTGCAACAGCTGGGGCTGGGCCAGGCCAGGGCCAGGCCAAGGCCAGGGAGACAGGAACTTCATCTGGATCTCTCATGTGGGCAACAGGGGCCCAAATACTTGGGCCATCTTCCACTGCTTCCCAGGGGCGTTAGTAGGAAGCTGGATTGGAAGTGAAGCAGCTGGGACTCAACTAGAACTTTGATACCAGGTGTGGGAGTCCCAAGCAGTGGCTTAACCTGCTGTGCCACAATGTCAGCCCCTCCTGCCTCCACTTCTCTAAAGCACGTCAAGTACTTGATTATATGCAAGACACATTTAAACTCCAGCGGGCCCCAGTGAGGGAAAGTAAAAAGCATTACGACAGGTGGGCATCGGCAGCATAGGGGCTTAAGCTGTCACTTGGGACACCGGCATTCCACATCACAGTGCCAGTTCCAGTTCTGGCTGCGCTGCTTCTGATCCAGCTCCCTGCTAATGCACCTGGGAAGCTGCAGATGATGGCCCAAGTGTTTGAGTCCCTGCCACACATATAGAAGACCCAGAATGCGTTCCTGCCTGCAGGTTTCGGCCTGGTAGAGCAGCAGCTGCTGCCAGCATTTGGGAGAGTGAACCAGAAGAAGGAAGTTGTCTTTGTCTCTCTGTATCTCTCCCTTTCTACCTTTCAAATAAATAAATCTTTAAAAAAAAATAAAATAAAAAGTACCATAAGAAAAGACCAACCCTGCCAAGAGAAACATGAGTGACTGATGGGTATGGCACACGTGGACCAAGAAAGATAGAGATCAATGGTCCCTCTGTGTTAAGGAGCTGGATTTTGCAAACTCTTAAATCTCAGCTTCATCATTTACTGATTATGTGACAATGGGCAAGTTGTCTCTCTCAGCCTTGGCATTTCCCATCTGTAAAGTGGAAGTAATCATTGAACTTCCCTCAGAGACTTATCATAAACATTCATTGTGTTAACAGTGTGTGTTACCTTACTCAATGAATATCCACTACAGGCTTAGTATCCTTAACTAAAATGCTTGGGACCACACATATTTCAGATTTCAGAGGTTTTATGGATGTTGGAATAGTTGCATAGATTTTACTGCAAGAACATCCCTCATCCAAAAAGCTGAAATCAGAAATGTGCCAAAATGTGAAGCATTTTGTGGGTACTCAAAAAGTTTTGGATTTCGGAAGATTTTGTATTCCAAACTTAAAGATTAGGGGCATTCAACCTCTATTATTATTATTTGCATGCGGGAAGCATCACAAGCAACCCTGCTGGTAGGAATCACCTGAATCTCTTCCCAAAGCTAAAAATTCCTACATACAAGAGAAGCCTTTGAACACAGGGCTAGGCTCTTCCCCACTGATCTTCAGGCTGAGCGCAGACTGCAGACTCCAGCCTGGCACAGAGATACCAGCCACTAGAGGGAGCACTAGAGGGACAGTGGACTTCCACAAACCACCATCCTTCAACCCTGGGTCTTTCCAATTGCAGCTTTGAACACATTAGTGGCTGTGATATCAACTTCAACACAACTGGCATTTTTTAATTCATGAAATACAATAGAAAACATCAGCATCAATTGCAGAAGTTACTTGCTTCAATCACACAATTTTATATGCATGTGTGTCCTCAGTCCCAATAGAAATTGTATTTCTCACTGGGCAATAGAAAACCATCAGAACAGTCTGAGAAATACTGCCTTTAAAAATGTGCAAGGGGCTGGCATTGTGGCACAGCGAGTAAAGCTGCTGCCTGCAGCGCCAGCATCCCATATGGGGCGGCAGTTCGAGTCCCAGCCTCTCCACTTTCAATCCTTCTCCCTGCTAATATGCCTGGGAAAGCAGAGGAAGATGGCCTGAGTTCTTGGGCCCCTGCCACCCACATAGGAGATCTGGAAGAAGCTCCCAGCTCCTGGCTTTGGCCTAGCCTTGGTTTAGCTTTTGCAGCCATTTGGGGAGCGAATCAGAGGATGGAAGACCTCTCTGCCTCTCCTTCTCTGTCTCTGTGTGTGTTTGTGTGTGTGTGCGTGCATTTCAAGTAAAAAAAAATGTGTAGGAAAACCCACCTATTTTCTTTAATTCTCTGACACCAACAGGCAACCTTTAGGTAAGTCCATGTTGTATATTACAGAAAAATCAGACACAGAGTGGAGGAGTAAATCTAACTAATTACACCTCATATTGTAGGGATTTCTATTATTTCTCTCCCTCTGGTGCTCATTAAGTATAGGCACCCCCCGAGGTCTAACCTGCGCCTCCTTTTCCAGGCTATGAATGACCTGCCTGCGTCTTGTCCCAGGTGGTGGCATTTCCCCCCAAGGCTTTCACTGGCTCCTCTATGTGGCTAAATCTGGAACAGCTCATTTAGCTCTTAATTCCAAGTATGTGTTTCCAAATTGTGGCTGGATCCTTTCCATGGATGGCCCATGGACTCCTCAAATTCAACCTGGCTGAAACTCAAGTCATCCCCTTTTTTTTATAACAAGCCCTGTGTCCCTGCTCTGGGCTCCTCTCCCTTCTCAGTCACCCAGGTAAAATAAACTCAGTCGTGGTTGTGGTCCAGTCCCCTTTCCCCTTCTGTCACTTCCAAGTGCTGTCATCTGGGCCCACACAGTCTGTACTCACACCTCTTTCCCAGGGATTCTTCCCCTGGCCATCAGCTACCTTACCAAAACATGGGTTTCAGTGTGTTATGGACTCATATCATTCTGATTCCTAAAATCAAATAATAATTCTCTAAGAATAACCAAATAAAATACAAACATCCAAGCATGAGATTTAAGACCCAAGCCAAAAAATACTAATGATTCTACCTCAAGTGCTAATCCCAACTGACCAGTGGTGTCTTCTTGGAGAACTGTGTTGAAAAGGATTCTGAGGCTTCTTAAAAACTCAGCAAAAAAAGGTTAACAAAGGACACAAGAGGCAGAAGAAGATATTTCTGGACTAAGTCAGTATTTTGCGTCTCCTTACCTAGTACAGCATAAACCAGTCAGCCATGAAAACTACTTATCATTGTTGAAATATACTATGCAATTAATAATCGGTTAATAATTTCATTAAAAATGAAGACCATCTATTTTCATGATTCATTTCTTTTACTGTCTAGATTGCTCTTGTTTCAGGTGCCTCCTCTTCAGCTCCTCATCTACTCTGACAGTTAATGACTTCTACTTCTACTTAGTGTGACTCAATCTCTTTTTTGTCATAAATACTATATATGTACATTATGTGTACTTATATAATGTGTATGTATTTGTATGCATCTGTTTGTGTGTACTTTTGCCTTTCTCTCGGGAAAATAAACTCTCAGAAGGCAGTGAACATATCTTAGTCATATTCCAACCCTAGATCTCAGACAGTAACTTAAACACAGCAAGCATTCATTCTATGTAGGTTGATAGAATGAATGAACAATTCAACCAGTATTCTGCTGGCATGTTGACCCGTGACTTTTCTAAAAGGAGAACTTGTCACAGGGAAGCTCTGGGATCCAGAGCCATCTCAGAAGCCGAGCCACTCCGACAGCGATCTGCGGCCAGAGTGAGTTGCCCCAAACTACAAGGTATGTGGTAGAACTGTGAATTCAAGAGAAGCACGTCTTAGTCAATGGTAGAGCGGTACACCTCTCGACATCTGTGAATGACTCGACAAGCCCACGAGGCAAGCTTGATGACCCTTGTACCGGTCAAGGCTAGGAAGACAAGACGTGCCCGACAGCATCTGAGCACGCTCAGGAAGAAGGGGGCTCAAACCCAGGCTCATACTTCCGATCCACAGCTCACACAAAGCTGTGCTGTTCCCGCTTCACCAGTGACCTTCTGGTGAATTTCAGTGCAGACAGAAGAATCTGCTACTGTGAAAAAACAACAGGTTGTAAAACCACTGCACCGCACCATGCTCTCTATCCTGCAGGAGTCTTGCCCTGGGATCATCCAAGCAGCCCCTACACCATTGGCCAGTGTGCCCCCCACACTGTAACCAGGTGAAGGCAGTTTTTGAAGAGACATGTCAAAGCCCCTTACCAAGCATCCGCAGCCTGTCTCATGGTCAGTTACAGGGAGGCCAAAGACCCAAAGCCCTCACTATCAACTCTCTCCCCTCACAGCAGCAAACTGGGGAGCACTATTTATAACACCCCAGTAGCCTGAACCACCGAGAGGGAAGTCCCAGGGACTGGTGGGGAGGGGTCCACTCATCTTCCATTTACAGGGAAAAAAAATAGCTTTTATTGTTGTTGTTGCTTGAACCTCTAAGAAGGGGAGGGGATAAAAGAAGCTGAAGAGAGATGGTGACAGACTTGTTAGTTTCCACAGCCGATGCCAAGTCCTGTCTTAGAGGGAGGACATGGCAGGCATTTTCTTCTTCCAAGAAGCACTGATGCTTGGGATTTTTCATTTCAAGCACTGAAAAGCCAATGATCTGGGCCAAAATCAGAGCGAGCTGAAAGATTTCAACGATGTGGGGGTTATCTTCTCTGTCTCTTCCCTCTGTCTGTGTGGTTCCTCAAACAAAGCGGGTTGGGAAAGTTCAAGCTCAGTTCACAGAAGAGAACATTCTGTACTCGGCACAACAGGCTGGGCTGCTCTCTGTAAAACAAGATCAACAGCGTGATGTCAGCCGCCGCTGCCAGCCCACAGCCCCGTGTTTGAACGCCCAGGCTGTCAGAGGCCGCCGCTGGACAGTGCCCCGCGAACGGGGACGCGCGTGCGCACCAGCCCGCCCAGCGGCACCGATGACTTTCTGTCCCTTGGCACTCAGCTGTCACCTCTGCTCCCCCAGGGTCAGGGAAGCTCTTGGGATATCTCTCTTTGGAGCGTGAGTACAGCTGAAACATTTCCAAGGAAAAAGCCCCCTGCGTGGCCACTTGCGTGCTGACATGAACTTTTCAATCTGTGTGGAATTTCTGGTCCACAGATGACAGCAGCCGTACCCCACGCGCTGCCACTGCCGGGACGGAGGGGACGGAGAGTCAAGGTGTTTACTGCCCCCCATGCCGTCCCCACCTTTTCTGTTCTCTTCTGAATCCAAAGCGCTTTCTTCCTCTGTTGGTAATCTAGTGTGCAATTCAACGATTCAATCCATATTTATTGAGTGCTGAGTGTGGGCCAGAGATTGTCCGTAGAATAATAGCTGCAGCAAGGGTTTTCTGACGCAGTGAAACCCTGGCCTTGAAGCGAGCCCCAGAGGAAGGAAGAAAGAGGGAGGTTGTGGGCGGTCACCTGTGGGGCGTAGGGGCGGCAGCCAGAATGAGGTTTGGAGAGACCCGGACACAGGTGCGTGGTTTGCAGGATGGCAAAGCAGACACAGGAGCAGTGCTGTTTCCCTTTCCTGGTGTGCTTTCCAGGTTGAATCCCAGCCTGCTTGCAAGAGGGAGAGATGACAAACAGAAGGCACAAGTGCCCACGGCAGGGGGCAGTCGCCCCTCCAGGCTGCTTTAAAGATCGCTTGTTCCAGCACGGTTGCAGGATGCCCAGACCAACAGGGCCAAGGGGCAGCGGCGAAACAGACAGGAAAGCTGGGAACTCCGTGGCTTTGAACCCTGATTTACTGTGCGTGTGTGGGATCGTGCAAAATCATCTCAGACTTTGTGCCTGCCGGTAAGTTTCTGTGCCCTCAGCTGTTAACCAGAGAGAAGATATCTATTGGGCCGACTACCGTGGGATGTAAGGAAATAATATATGCCTTTGCTTGGCATACACTAGGTATTCAACAAATAGTAATCCTCATTATTATTTTTTTAAAAGGCACTGTCCCTTTTTTTTTCTTTTATTTATTTGACAGAGTTAGATAGAGAGAGAGAGACAGAAAGGTCCTTCTTCCATTGGTTCACCCCTCAAGTGGCCACCACTGCCAGAGCTACACCAATCCAAAGCCAGGAGCCAGGTGCCTCCTCCTGGTCTCCCATGTGGGTGCAGGGACCCAAGCACCTGGGCCATCCTCCACTACCTTCCCGGTCCACTGCAGAGAGCTGGACTGGAAGAGGAGCAACCAGGGCTAGAACCTTGCGCCCATATGGGATGCCGGCACTGCAAGTGGAGGATTAACCAAGTGAGCCATGGCGCCGGCCCCCCTCATTTTTTTTTTTTTTTTTTTTTTTTTGGACAGGCAGAGTGGACAGTGAGAGAGAGAGACAGAGAGAAAGGTCTTCCTTTGCCGTTGGTTCACCCTCCAATGGCCGCCGCAGCCGGCGCACCGTGCTAATCCGAAGCCAGGAGCCAGGTGCCTCTCCTGGTCTCCTTTGCGGGTGCAGGAGCCCAAGGACTTAGGCCATCCTCCACTGCACTCCCGGGCCACAGCAGAGAGCTGGCCTGGAAGAGGGGCAACCGAAACAGAATCCAGCACCCCGACAAGGGCTAGAACCTGGTGTCCTGGTGCCAGGCAGAGGATTAGCCTAGTGAGCCTCAGCGCCAGCCCCCCCTCATTATTATTAATGTAAGTACCTTTCAGAGAAAGCTGGTGGCTGAGTCTCACTTAAGAACTTGAACCAGGGGCCGGCGCTATGACGTAGTAGGCTAAGCCTCCCTGCCTGTGGTGCCAGCATCCGATATGGGCACCGATTTGTGTCCTGGCTGCTCTTCTTCTGATCCAGCTTGCTGCTATGGCCTGAGAAAGCAGTAGAAGATGGCCCAAGTGTTTGTGCCCCTGTACCCTGTGGGAGGCTGGGAAGAAGCTCTTGGCTCTTGGCTTCAGATCAGCCCAGCTTTGGCCATTATGGCCATCTGGGGAGTGAACCAGCAGATGGAAGACAGAGGTCTCTCTGTTTCTCCCTCTTTGTAACTTAACCTCTCAAATAAATACATAAAATCTTTTTTTAAAAATAAATAAACAAATCTTTAAAAAAAAGAACTTTCACCAATGCATCCTCTTGAAACATTTTCTTGTCCACCTATTTTCACAATTTATTTACTGAGCCACTGTCCATTGGGCACCTGCACCTCGCTCTGTACTCTATGCCAGGCACGAGGCCCTGGGGCATCCAAAACCTTGACCTCAGGAAGCCCCCTCACCTTTCCAGGGCGGTCAGCTTACACAGGGCAGTAAACCCTGGGCTGCTGGCAACTGCTTCTTCCCAGCCTACTTTCTTCATACTCAAGCTCATTTCTTCTCCGTCCAAGACGATCTTGACCACTGTGACCAGCCATCCCTGGGAAAAAGAAACCTCTGGGACACCTGAGGAGCAGGGATTTGTCACAAAGCACCGTGATGCAAGACATTTCTTGGGACTGTACTTCCAGAATGTAAACATGCTTTCTCACTTCAGAACCAGAGCTCCTGCCAAGACTTTGAAAAACAAGTTACACAAGCACATTTGGGGTAGCTGGACAGGCCACATCGCAGCTGCTGCTATGTGGGGAGGGAGCTGGCCTCAAGGACTCAGGCAGGGACAATACACCCACCAAGAAATGCAAAGCTCAGTCCCGGAGCCCAGTACAACACAACAATCCCTGGCCTGTGACTCAAAGGAGTCATCTGTTGATGACAATTTAATAGATGTCCGTACCGCCTTCACAAGTGGGCTCCCACTCAACAGAGCAATCACCTGCCATGAGAGCCAAGGCTCAGCCCAGGTAGGACTCCCTTGGAACTGGTCACTGGGACATCTTATATTCTTTCTGTCCCAAGAAGATCACTCCTCTCCCTTCCCCCGTTCTACTCCTCTCACCAAGGGGCTTACAATATTGGCAGCAAAGAGCTTGTCTCAAAAACACCTTCCCCCAAGTCAGAGTCTTTTGCCAAGGGCTACTGCCAGTTCCAGCAGTTACAGGTAGAATTTCCCAGGTCACAGAGTACATAAGCCACTAAAAGCAAAATGTTAAGGATCTGAGGTGGACTAAGCTAAGTAAATCCATGTGATAGGCAAGTAACCAAGATTTCAAAAGGAGTAAAGGAAAAGAAGGAGTTTGCAGACAATTAAGCAAGAGTTCACATCAACCCACACTCTTCCTGGTAGGAAGAGAGACCTACGAGAGTGACGTCTGTTGACCATTCATTAAGTGCCAAGAGCTTTACATATGTTCTCTCAGTTAATCCCCACAATGATTCTGTGTGGCAGGTGATGATATTGTGCTCCTTGTAGATGAGAAAACCAAGACTCAAGAGCTTAACTAATTTTCTCAAAGTCATGCAGCCAAGCACAAGGCAGAGCTTGCACTTGAACCCTGGTCTATTCAGCTTGAAAGCCCAGGTTTCTTTATTTATACTCTTCTGCCTCCCCGCCCTGTGTGCAAGAATCTTCTGAGAAGACTAAAGGGATCATCTTCTACAATTAATTTCTTAGAGACTGAAATCTCCCATTGTCTAATAAATACCAACTCCTATTTCAGAACAGACAATCAATCAGCAGCAGTTCTGAACACTCATGAGGCATCGTGCTATATTCTACAGGGGAGAAAAAGGAGAATTAAGCATAAGTGTTACTCAAGCACTTTAAATACTGTCTGGACAGGACAGGTTGTGCTGAAGTAACAATCTCTTACATGCAATGGCTTAGCACAACAGAAGTTTATTTCCTGTCCATACCAGATGAACTGGATTTGAAGACGTTCACTCGGGTTGTCTCTCCAGGGCTGAAATAATGTATGTCAATGATGAGGATGACTGGTGCTGGGTTACCAACACCCTATTGAAGGCACAGCTGCTGGGTTACCATCACCCTATTGAAAGCATAGCCCTGGAGAGACAAACGAATGAACACCTGGAACCAAGAATAGACATGGTAGGCTCAAGGAGGAGAGGGCCCATCAGAGCTGAACAGAGGCCTGGGATCAGGATGGCCCAGCAGTTAGAGAAAGCATAGGACATCTTCAAACAGGAGAAAACCACGATTCGAATGCAGTGTTGAGAACTGCAGCATAATGGGTAGAGCCACTGCCTGCATGATCAACTTCCGGCTGCTCCATTTCTGATCAGGACTCTGCTATGCCCTGGGAAGGCAGTGGAAGATGGCCCAGGTCCTTGGGCCTCTGTACCGGCATGGGGGACCCAGAGGAAGCTCCAGGATCCTGGCTTCAGATCTGCCCAGCTCCAGCTGTTGTAGCCATTTGGGGAGTTAACCAGCAGATGGAAGACCAATCTCTCTCTCTCTCTCTCTCTCTCTGCCTCTGCCTCTCCTATGTAACTCTACCTTTCAAATAAATAAATAATCTTTAAAAAAAAGAATTGTAGTTAGTGACTGTTATTTAATTTATTTATTCATTTTACATTTTTTTCTTATTTTGAGAGATAGTGAGAGGGAGCCAAAGAGTCAGAACAGGAGAGACAGGTCGAGAGAGCTCACAATGCTCACAATGGCCAGTGCTGGGTGGGCCAGATGCCACGAGCCAGGAACTCAATCCAGGTCTCCCTCAAGGGTGGCAGCAGCTCAATTACTTGAAGTATCACTGTAGCCTCTCAGGGTCTGCAATGGCAGGAAGCTGGAGTCAGGAGCTGGAGCTAGCAATTGAATGTAGGAATGCTAACGTTGAGACAGGGGCATTTTAACAGATAGGCTAAACACACACCCTTCACAAATGTTTCAAAGATTTTGCACAGGAGATACAAAAGTGTATGAGGCTTGTTTCCTGCTCTCAAGTTGCTCCAGTCTCTAGTAAAAGGAGAATAAATGTACTAATTATTTCAAACATTGCTGCCTTTTTTAAAGGTCTGATCTCAAAGGGAAACTTTGATGGATAGAACCTAAAACTTCAAGGATGCAAGAGCATGAAGGAGGAAGGGCTGAGCAGGCTGGATTACTCCATGAGATTGGGTGGCAGTGAGGAATCCATGGCAGAAGGAGGCTGCACGGCTCAGGGATAGAGAAGAGTAGAAGATTTAAGAAGAGAGGAAATAAGGCAGCTGGCCATGGGATAAAAAGCTCTTGGAATGAACGAAGATTTTCAGAGGGAATTTTTATGCAGTTTGGTCATATGACTTTCAGGGTAAGCCCTCCTGTTGTGAGCAGGGCAGTAGAATCTACATTACTGAAATGCTTTGGGAGGTGGCTTGAGAGGCCACAAGGGGGCAAGTGGGTTGCAGTGAAGTGTTGGTTACAGCCTCAAAGTGGGTACAGGCTGTGAGCAGGGACTCTCTGAGAGAGCACAGTCATGTGTGCAATCAAACTTCTCCAGGACAAAGTGGCTCATTATGGGAGTGGGAGCTTAAGTCGAGAAAACCTTCATAAAGGAGATAAAAGATGATCCTGGTACCACGTGTGCTTCCATCCCACTTAAATTAACACGTTCCAGTACAGGCACCAAGAGTATCAAGTGCAAGTGCAAAGGAACTGAGCTGTGGGACAGTGTGGTTTGATTGAGCAAATTCTAGCAAACATTGATAAACAGCATTAAAGGGGATGAAGTCAGGAAAAGCATGTTCAGTAATCTAATCCAATGATCAAAACTTGTAGAAATAATACCATGAATTCGCCTTCAAAATTATTCATCAAATTTGTTCCTGCTTCAATATTGGTACAAAAATCTTTTGTTTGGACTTAGCAAAAACTCAGGACTATTGGTAAGAGAAGTGGTGGATCCAGAGGTGAACTTTTCTAAGGAATGTCTTATTTATATTCACCTCTCACGCACAGTCTGCCAATATTTACCTTGCTGCTAAGCACCACCTCGCCTCGTGCCAAGATCCTCCAGGCCCGTGTTCCAGCAGGTGAAGGATTGCCCGAGACAGCAGCAAACAGAAGCGGAGAGTGGGGGACTGTGAAACACACTTCTTGATTTACAGTCCACTGTCAAGGGGTACAATTTATCTCCACTTCTCAGAGCCCAAAGGAGCCTAAGTGCAGAGTGTGTGCGCGTGTGTGTGCGCCTGTGTGTATTTTAAATATCCACCTGGGAAATCTCTCAATCAGCATTTATTTCAATAATCTCATGCATTTCTATGGCACCTCTCTCCACAAATGCTTCCAAACCAGTTTGTAAGTTTTATACAGCCGGGAAATTGCCGTGGCAGGAATAGAAGGAAATAGATACCGATCAGCTTCCCAGGGAGAACTTGGGACTAAGTGTACTTTTGTTGAAAAGTATGGGGATCCAAGAATGTGCACTTTATTCAGGATGTGCAGGTAGTTAAATGACACTGTATTTCATTACAACATTATTCTCATTTCTTCTTAGGAATCCATTCAAATTCTACCCAACTTTCAAGACCTACTTCTAGACTGAACTCTACCGTTGATGAGTTTTGGTCTCTTGGAGCAAAAGCCTGTCACTTTTCCCTGGATGCTGCTTTTCCCTAAGCACACAGAAGGATAGCACTGGGTATGAGGCCTTGCACTGCTCTCGGGGGTTATACACTATGCATTTCTAGCCTGTTTCTCAGGAGAAGCAGGAAAGTATCCAGGAGGCCACTGAGCACCCATGAGGAACTTGAAGGAACTTTAAATCAGCCAATAAATATTTGCTGAGCAATTACATGTTCTAGAAACTGTGCCAAGATGCTGGAGACACAGCTGAGAGCAAAGGGGCCATGATCCCTGACCTCCTGGAGCCAGCAGTCTAGAAGGGGAGCTGATCATTAATCCGATCATCACACAGATCTGTGTAAACTTAGCATCAAGATAAGGGTAACAAAGGAGGACTCCAAGAAGAGGAGCAGGAAACTCAATCTAGACTAGGGGTTCTGGGAAAGCTGCTGGAGAAAGTCAAGTTCAAGTGTTCACCTGTAGGATGAGCAGGAGTCAGCTCTGAGTGTGTGTGTGTGTGTGTGTGTGTGTGTGTGTGACAGCCTCAGCTTCCTCATTTGTAAAATGACTATACTAGCCTAGTTTAACTTTGGAGTCTATAGAAACAGACTCTAAAACGAGGACTCTTTGGAAGCGAATTCATGAAGAACTGTCCTCCAGGGGGGAAAATGGCAGAGAAGATGGGGAATGGGACTGCGAAGAGCAGGGGCCAAGCAACTTTGAGGATGGAGCCGTCTCCTGGAGAGGCCTGCGGGTCACAGAATAAGCCACACGGGTAACTGGGACCACTGTGCTCTCCCACACCTGTTAGTTTCACGTAAGTCCCAGGCACTCTTGCTCTCTGGGCTGGGAAGCAAAGTGGTTCCAGTAGCTCTAGAACTGCTCTCCAACACAGTCTTGGTGCAGGCTGCTGGGTAGGCAGGACTGTGGTGTGCAGAGTGCAAGGGAGTGCAACCCAGGTTAGGTTAGGGTTAGGTCCAAGTTCAATGCCACGATGCCAGACGCTAAGTGAGCACTCAGTAAATATTAGCTCTCATTGTCATTAACATTTACCAAGCATGGCCTGGGACAGGCTCTGTTTTGCCCAGTTGTCTCTGCTGCCTCAAATCCTTCAGGGAAATGCTGCTTCCCACCACTCCCTGCCGGGTCTCCTAAGACAAACATACATGTAAATAGGGCCACCGCTATTTATATTCCCCAGGATTGTCAAATTTGGCTGAGCTCATATGGGAACTGTACATTTGCCCTGTCATCCTCCCTAGCATCTGCTTTCACCAGGGTTGCTTCTCCCCTCCCTCCTGTGCTCCTGGAGCTCAAAAACGTACGGACTCAGCTGCTTCTTAAATGTGATCTGTGGGGCCAGCGTTGTCATGCAGTGGGGTGAAGCCACCATTTGTGACAGGCAGCTCATAGTGGAGTGCTTGTTCAATTCCTGGCTGCCCTACTTCTGATCCAGGTCCCTGCTAATACACCTGGGAAAATGGCAGAGGATGGCCCAAATGCTTGGACTCCCGCCACCCAGTGGGAGACCTGAATGGAGTTCCAGGCTCCTGGCTTCTGCCTGGCTTCAACTGTTAAGGCCATTCAGGGAGTGAACCAGAACCAGTAGATTGAAGATCTCTCTATGTGTGTAGTGTGTGTGTGTGTGTGTGTGTGTGTGTGTGTGTCTCACACTCTGCCTTTCAAATAAATAAATCTTTTTAAAAAAATATGTGATCTATGCTAACCTAGTGTAATTCTCAGGCCTTCAATTCATGGGAAAGTTGATGGAATTTTTAGATCAGAGGGACTTCCTTTATCTGCTCATCTTGCTGAGAAATTGCACAGTTGGTCATCACTTCCGAATCAGTATTTTAAGTAAAAAGAGAACTATGGACACTTGTAACAGCAAGGATGAATCTCAAAAACACTATATTGAGTGAAAAAAAAAAAAACAAATACAAAATAATACACATGGTGTGTTGGCCATTTATTGGGAATTCTAGAGCAGGCAAAATTAATTGATGATGACAAAAGGCAGATCAGGGATTGCCCAGGGCCAGGCACTGGGGCAACTTGCGGCTTGGCATGAGGAGGCTTTGGGGATTGAAAATAATCCTGTCTCGGTTGTGAGGGTGGTTACATTTGTGGGGATATATGCCTTTGTCAAAATTCATAGACCGGCCGGTGCCGTGGCTCACTAGGCTAATCCTCCACCTTGCGGCGCCGGCACACCGGGTTCTAGTCCCGGTCGGGGCGCCGGATTCTGTCCCGGTTGCCCCTCTTCCAGGCCAGCTCTCTGCTGTGGCCAGGGAGTGCAGTGGAGGATGGCCCAAGTGCTTGGGCCCTGCACCCCACGGGAGACCAGGATAAGTACCTGGCTCCTGCCATCAGATCAGCGCAGTGCACCGGCCGCAGCGCGCTGGCCGCGGCGGCCATTGGAGGGTGAACCAACGGCAAAGGAAGACCTTTCTCTCTGTCTCTCTCTCTCACTGTCCACTCTGCCTGTCAAAAATAAATAAATAAATAAATAAAATAAAAAAATTCATAGACCTATATACTTAAAATAGGTGTATTTCATTGTACGTAAAGTGTACCTCTGTACACTTTGACACAAAAATTAAATACAGGACCAGCACTGTGTCATAGTGGATTAAGTCTCCTTCTGTGATGCTGGTATCCCATATGGGTGCTGATTCAAGACCCTCCTACTCCATTTCCAATCCAGCTCCCTGCTAATGCTCCTGGGAAAGCAATGGAAGATGGCTCAAGTCCTTGGGCCCCTGCACCCAAGTAGAAGAACCAGAAGAAGCTCTGGGCTCCTGGATTTGGTTTGGCCCAGTCCTGGCCATTGCAGCCTTTTGGAGAGTAAACCAGTGGATAGAATCTCTCTATATCTCTCTCTCTTTCTCTTTCTCTCCCTCTCCCTCTCCCTCTCTCTCTTTCTCTACCCCCCCATCCACCTTTAACAGTACCTTTCAACCTTTCAAAGAAATAAAAAGTAAATAAGTCTACAAAATTTGATATATATGCATCTTACTGCCTGTTCATGAGGTCAAAAATAGATCCAAGACTAATTCCAGAAAATTCTACCTGGCTAGACACACAGAAGCCTTGTATTATTTCCCAACTCCACCTCATTCAGTCTTTTGGCAAGAAGCTGGTTTTTTTATATTTGCACTGACAGAGGGGAATAATGACTAGGAGGATATGAAAAGAGAATGACCCAGGAGTCATTTCCATCTGGTGGCTCTCAGACATGTTGTGTTGCTGCCTCCATGGAATTAGAATAGAGCACTACTGCTTGACATCCCCCAGATACACTTGAGATGAAATAATGAAGTTCTCTAGGAAGACCTGAGCTGCCGAGGGCAGAAAGCACTTATTCACTGCCCTGACTCCACTTCTCCCTTCTCCTCACCTCAAACAGGAAAGGCAGGGCCTCACTCAGCCCCACACCTTCCTTCACACAGGCTGTCTAGTTTGCCTCTGCCTTTGTGAGATTTGGTCCCTCTGCAGGAACATGCAATGTAAACAGAGAGAGAGGATGTTCAACCCACTGCAAAAAGGCTTCAAAAAAGTCTTCTTGCAAATTCACTGGATTCATCTGCTTGTAGATCAGTGAGAATATTTTACAGAAATTGGTTTCTTACAGCTAGCATGTAGTTTAGCTGGTTTGGGCTCTGAAAAATCTTCCCTGCACTCGGCTCCACCTCCCACCCCCCAAACCCTGCCGCTTTCCAGTTGGGTTCGCTGCCCCGGTATTTGCACCCCACCACCTGTCCCCAGCACCCTGTACTTTGTCCTTCGTGACACTTACCACGTGGCAGGCGAATGCCTGGTTGCTAATCTTTGTCCTGGACCAGACTGAGAGCGCTTTGAAGGCAAGGTCTGCTGAGGTCACTATTCTACCCCAGCTGCTAGAACAGCAGCAGGCTCATAGTAGGTGCTTAGTGAAGCGTTGGTGAGTTATTATTCTGAACATGTAACAGCAGAGTTTATTTAAGGTTGTGAAAATAAACTGCACAAACAGGAAAACTCTGGTGCTTCCAAAGGGAACTCCACCCAAGCAGGGCTCCAGCAGGAAATACCGAAATGTCAGTATCTAGCACAGAAATCACCGCGTCTGTGTTTCAAGGCATGCTCTCCTGAGCAGATCTCCAAGAGTCTAGAAAATCCAAGCCTTTAGGAACTGTCCAAAAAAATTCTCTAAGGCACAGGGACGGATGACTCCACATGGCAGGGGTGGGGTAGGGGAACAGAAGGGAGGAGACACTCTGTTATCCTAACACCCTGGGCCTCTGGAGCTGATTTTGGAGCTGACTAGCCAAACTTGGAGGCCTGGACTCTCCCAGCCTCTGCAAATGACAACAGCAGCAACACCTCCTCCCAGAACAGTTGTGAAACACCATCTGTAAGTTCTTAAGGGTGATACGGACTTGAGTTGTCTACATTATCAGGAACAACCATCACAAAATACACATGGGACCTTAAGGTGGCTACAATCAGATGAGGAAGAGTGAAAGAAATCTGAATTATAACCACAAGCCACTCCTTATACCCATACACTGGTTCAGTCTTCCTCTCTCCCCATGGTCCCCTGAGTGCTCACCTTTGGCCCATTTACCTCCCAGCCAGTGAACAGAGAGTACTGGGGGCTGAGGTCCACTTGGTGTTACCACACATGATCGATGCTAGGAACAGGGGAGAAATACTTGGCTAAAGTGAGGGTCTGAGAGTATCTGAAGTCCACCATGCCATTCCCTCACCTTGTTGGGGATCTAGGGATCAATAAACAAATACCAAATGCTTGCTAATTGGCTGATGGTTCCTCCTCCTTTCACTAAAATGCTTACTTAAAAATTAACATGGTGAATTTAGTGCATTTCTGCAGCCTGTACCCATCAAATTATTTGCCTTGCATTTAGATAATGAATCATGCCCATACGTGGCCAAAAGTACAACAGTTTCAGAGAAGGAACAGTCAGGTCATCTCTTAGTGAATTCATGTGCCCACTGTCGTATTATTGCCAATCATTCATTCATTCAATCATTCATTCAACAGAAAAAAAGGAAAGAATTTGGGAGTCTGATTTGAATCCTGGCTCTGTCCTTTACTAGACCTACAACCTCAGTCAAATTGTCTGTGCCTTCCTTTGTAAACTGCCGAGTCACAGGAGTCCCTGCCTTGAACATTTGCCGTGAACCCTGAGTATTATCTTATTCTTAATAATAATAATCACAACTCTTGCTCAGGGCCAAATGTACAAGTATGCACCAGAGACTGAGAGCCACTTTGCTGTCTTCTAGGGGAGGGCCTGTCCACATGTGGCAACTCTTGGGGCACAGGGGCCAGCTGTTCACTTGGCACTTGGCACTTTCAGAATGTTCTTTCCAGCCTAAAGGTCTAGCGTAGATGTCATTGTCCTCATATTCCCATGCCACGTGGAGGCATTGAAGGGCGTCTTAGCAAAGTGCTGGTTTCTAGAATGACAACCCCATTAGACTAAGCCATCTGACTGGCTTTGCAGGCAGAGAAAGAGTTCATATGAGTAGGACTTGGAAATGAAGCACACACAAGCCCAAGGGAAATACTTGAGAAATGCAATTTAAAAATCTCAGATCAGATCTTCTCAGAAGGGCTGTGGTGAACACCAGAACTTCTCTAAATATGTCCCAGCCTCAGAACAGTTCAAACATAGTGTTTTGTAAACCCAATACACTATAAGAAACAAATAGGTATCCTGCTTTCCATGGTATGATAGGCAACCAGGAACTGGTCTGGTAAATGCTTGATGACTTAGACAGAAAGTTTTAGATATCCATTCTACTTTATCAAAATTCCATAGCATGTGACCTCTGCCCCAGGAAGCAGTTTCCCTGGAGCCTGCAGTTGACCTCCCTTACCAGAGACATAAAGCAAAGAGAAGGGCCCATGGCTGGTCCACCAGTGTCTCCCATAGCACCCAACAGAGTGTCAAGTGCACAGTGTACACTCAACGTATATGTTGCCCACTTGGATGAGGGTACACGTTTACGGGAACTTAGAAAAACCAGCACTCATGTCCTCCACCCTTCCTTAGCGTGCACTGAAGTTCAGGCAGAGGGAGAGGAGGTGGTGCTCCAGGTCAGACAGTCATGCAGTCAGAAAAAGGATCCAAGTCCTATCTTCTTGCTTCCAAGGAAATTAGATGGAAAAGAGACTCGATTCAAAGAATTAACCTTGAGGATGGCAGAAATGTGGACATTTCTTTTGACACTGAATTTAAAAAACTCATGAGGGGAGAGCTGGTCTATCATATATAGCCAGCGTATATGTATAAACACACTGTTCATATATTTGTCCATTGGCAGGCTAAATTCTACCAGATAGATGGATAGGTAAGTAGATAGATAGACAAATAGATAGATATGTGTATAACACTGTATGTTTTTATACATTGTCATATGGCATTTTCATATAGAATCATTGCAGTGTGTATATGGCATGTATTTACATATATGAGTATATAAATATAAATACATATAAAATTCAAATATGGCCTGGTAAATTACTGGATTTAGCTTGAATGGCTTTATTTGCATGAAGAATCAAAGTGTTCCATGGGAAAGAATTCATGCCAATAAAACACGAATCTCCGGAGCATCTGCTTGATCAATACAGGGTCCATTTACGTTAAAGACGGCAGCACTGGGTGCTACTGCAGGGCTCCTACTCATGGCACTTCTGCCCTCTCCTCCCACTGCTCCTGAAGCAGCCTCATCACCACCTCCCACTTCTTGCCCTGTATCAGCATTGCATGGTCTTATCAGGTGGAGGATGCTGCACAAAACAGCAACAACAGAGAGTAACGCCTCATGGAGAGGCGAGAACAGCAATGCAGGGAAGTCCCAGAGCAGACCTGGGTGCAGGTGCATGTAAAAGCAAGTGGACCTCATCCCATGCAAACTGAGTTATTTCTTTCATCCTGATTGACCCCACTCACACCCAAATGCTGGACTTCAGCTGTTGGAATTTGAGGAAGTCCCTTCCCACCGAGTTTGGAACCAACTAAGGGAATCATAGGCACCAGGCAGATGGAGCTGGAAACACCATCCTTAGGATTCACAAAGCTGGATGGGGAGATGTGTCAGACGTACAGGA